GCAGATGTTTGGGAAAATAGTTGAAGAATTATAACAAAGATATATCCCAATGAGGATGGAGGATTTTAGAAAGGAGTTAAACAACCAAGGAAGTTAAGGATTATATTAAATTGAAAGAAAAAACATGCAATCCAGCAAATATTAGTGGTAAACCAGGGGCTCGGGTAAAGTTTAATGGCCAACATATACTAAGAAAAAGCAAGAAAATAAACAATGTGAATAAACCAGCAAGTGAAATAAAAACAGACACTGTGATCTTCTTTAAACATATAAAAAGGAGGGGAAAAGCCAAAGTGAATACTTAGCTCCTTGGAGAATGAGGCTGGGGAAATAATAATGGGGAACCAGGAAACGGCAGAGGAGTTGAATAAGTACTTTGCGTCAGCCTTTAAGGTAGAGAATGTTAATAGTATTCCAAAATTATTAAATATTCAAGGGGCAAAAGAGGTAAGGAAATAAATGCAATAACTTTAACTGTAGAAAAAGTACTGAGGAAACTATTGAGGCTAAAGACCTGGATCTGATGGATTCCATCCTTGGAACTTAAAAGAAGTAGCTACCAAGATAGAGGATCCACTGGTAGTAATCCGCTTTCCCTTGGTAGTAATCTTCCAAGAATTTTTAGATTCTGGAGTCCTAGAAGATTGGTAAACTGCCAATGTAGTGCTTTATTCAAAAGTAGAGAGAGACAAAAACAGGTAAATATGGGTCAGATAGCTTAACATTTTGTTATTGGGAAATGTTAGAATCTACTATAAAAGATATTATAGCAGAGCATTTAGAAACAATTAATATGATCAAGCAGAGTCAGCACGGCTTCAGGAAGGGGAAACCATGCCTGAAAAATGTATTAGAACAGAACATAGAACATAGAACATTACAGCGCAGTACAGGCCCTTCAGCCCTCGATGTTGCGCCGACCTGTGAAATCAATCTGAAGCCCATCTAACCTAAATTATTCCATTATCATCCATATGTTTATCCAATGACCATTTAAATGACCATTAGAATTCTTTGAGTAGGCAACAAGTAGAACAGATAAAGGGGAATCAATAGATGTAATATATTTGGATTTTTAAAGACCTTTAACAAGATACCATATATTAGGCTACTTAAGATACAAACCCGTGCTTTTGGACATAATATGAATAGAGGATCGGCTAATTAATAGAAGACAGAATTTGGATAATGGGGGCATTTTTACAGATGACAGTCTGTAACTAGGAGACGTTGAGTAGGTTGTGACTGTACTTGTTAGAATTTAGAAGAATAAGAGGAGACTTATTGAAATGTGCAAGATTCTTAACGGCTTGACAAAGTAGATGCAGATAATTTGTTTCCCCTTATGGGAGAATCTAGTACCAGAGAGAATTATCTCCCAATAAAAGGATGCCCATTTAAGACAGATGAGGATTTCATTTTTCTCAGGGTAGTGAATTTGTGGAATTCTTTACCACAGAGGACTGTTGAGGCTGGCTCATTCAGTATATTCAAGGCTGAGATAGATATTGAATCAGTAAGGGGAATCAAGCGTTCAGGGGAAAAGATAGGAAAGTGGAGTTGAGAACTATCAAATCGGCCATGATCTCATTGAATGGTGAAGCAGATTCAATGGGCTGAATGGCCTATTCTGCCCCCTAGGCCTGATCGCTTGTGAGAAGCATTGAATGAGCTCTCACTGTGTTGGTTTTAGATAAATAACTAATGACTGATGCATTGACTTCAGGGGTTGTATTGCATTGGGACGTTGTGCCTGTGACCTGGATCCTGACACTTACAAAAACAATATAACCCCAACAGTTTAAACCATTACAGTGACTTCAGTTTACCATTCAGAGCAGCAACCTAAAAGGCACAGGGTTTGCAGTGAACATCACAGCGCTATCTGGAACCGACTGCCAATTCAGATCCATTCCACGACAATCTGTACCTGACCAAATATACTTGACTTCATTCTGAAGTTGCTATTGGTGGCTTTTCCTGTCCCTCTGGGTTTTGTTGCTGACCTGAGCTCACACCCGGATGTTCTGACAGACACTATGTTACAGCCATTCTGTGAGCCAGACAGTGCTGCTGGTCAGTGTCTATCCTGCTACTCCTGTGGGCCATCGGTGTCTAGTCAGTGTGATCCTTGTTGGCCTTTCTCCTTCAGAATGCAATACAGGAATTCAGGAACCTTTTTAAAGCCAATGAATTCTGGAGAAACTGTTGAAATGATTGCCTGGTGTAATAAGCTCACCTGGCTGCCTGCATTGGAGGATCAGAAACAGTCTCTTGGCCAACACAGGGTTAGTGTTGTTAATTATCCCCTTGGGAGCTGTGCAATGAGAACCATGTGTTTGAGGCTTTTTAATAATGATTTCAGTCTTTGTGGTTGTACCAGAGCTATTAGGATGGTTATAAAAATGCTTTGTTTAACTATCTATTTAATATAAAGTCATCAGTTGGACCTACTGGAGAGAATCAAAATTACTTAAAAAGAAAATTTCAAAAACCAGTCATTTCCTGCTTTGCTGTGACCTTGGCCCAGGCTGAGAAGAATGATCTCACACATTGACCTTGGGTTCTGAGGCTATCAGATGTGGACAGTGTTTCACAGACAGTACCTTACACAGAGAGGCCTAAACAAGACAGTCCAGTCGCCCAGGTGCATGTGAGATTCCTGAAATGTGCTGCACTAGAGATGTACTAGTTTAACAAAATAACCCATATGAAGCGGTGAAAGTAGCAGAGATTACATCGAGCTGGAGAAACTCAGTAGGTCTGGCAGCATCTGTGAAGAGAGAGAAACAGAGTTAATTTTTGAACCCATTGACCCCTCTTACACCAACATTGTTACAAATGGATCCATCATGATCTGGAAATCACATCAATGTCAATGTTGATGCAGTGGCAACTTCTAAAATATATTTTGAGTAATGAATAAATAAAACAACTGTATGAACAAGAGGAATGGGATTCATTAACAGAAACAAAAACAGAAATTGCTGGAAAAGCTCAGCAGGTCTGGCAGCATCTGTGGAGAGAAATCAGCGTTAACATTCCTGGTCTGGTGACCCTTCCTCAGAATGGGATTCATTAAATGGATTGAAGGGGCCAACATGGGTAGAATGGATTGAATGGCCTCCTCCTGATTATAATGTCCTGTGGTGGGAATAACAGGAGACTTTGCCTCTTTCAGCCTGTTCCTTCCCTTTGGGTCATGGCTGATCTGGAGTTTAACTCCATTTACCCTCCTGGGTTCCACAGCCTGAGACAGTAGCCCCTGCCATTACCCCTGGTGTGCTCCTGCCCCTAAAGAGAATGAGGTTGATCTTTGGATGGCGAGGGAGGGTCGCTGTTCAGATCATGTGGGATACTTTTTATAAAACCCATCAGAGCGTGAACCAACAAATAGTTAATCTTGGTGAGGGACTGGGAACTGTAGAAGTCTGTTGACTTGGGCAAGGACAAGAATTGCTTTTGCGAAGCAATTCCTGAAAGAATTTCCTGGCGAGGGTTGGATGCAGGAGAGATTCCCTCAACGCCTTCAACTCTGTGTATTTTTGGAATCAGAATCTGATTGGCTGCAGTTAGAACTGGCACCAAAGGAAGTGTTTCCTTAACCCTTCGATTCTGTGTAGAATGCAGAGTGAGAGAGTGGGTGGGGAGGGGGGAGAGGAGGGAGAGATGGAAAGAGAAAGGGAAATGGGAGAGAGTGGGTGGAAGAGGGAGAGACACCAAGAATGGGGAGAGCCAGAGGGGGTGAGAGAGAGAGGAATAAGGGAGAATGGGACATGAGGGACAGAGAGAGTGGAGAGAGAGAGCAGGAATGAAGGAAAGAGAGAATGGTGAGAGAGTGTGTGTGAGAGACAGAGTGGCAGGGGCGAAGAGAGAGAGACAGAGAAAGGGGGAGACAGGAAAGGAGGTGGGGACAGATAGGGAAGAAGAAAAGAGTGAGCAAAAAGGATACTAGAAGTCTAAGATTTTGGATTCCGGAAATTTTGAATTGGGAAAGGTAGCAGCGAAGCAGAGTGGACCTGAGTGAGATTCCATCATCAAGGTGTGACTGCAAGGTTTGATGTTGTGTTATGTTCAACCCAGAGAAATGATGAAGAGTGATAGATATTCCAAAACCGAGTGGGCCCTCATCCTTCCAGGCCTTACTCCCGCAGCTGAATCAAACGACACGTGAAAGCGAGTGGTTTTATCACAAAGACTCAGTGAGGAACTGCTGTTGTTTGTCTCCGCATCCCAGCACTCTGGAGCATATGGATATATGAGCAAGCAGTAAGCCATTCAGCCCTTTGAGTGGGTTCTGCCATTCAGTAACACTGTGGCTGTTCTAATTGTAACCCTCAGTCCACTTTTACACCTACTCACTAAAATCTCCCATCTCCTTACTGAATAGTGATCTATCTACCTTCGCCTTCAAAATATGCATACCCTGCTTCCACCAGCTTTTCAGGAAGACCAGCCCAAGAACTCACAATCCTCTGCTGGATAAAAAATCCCATCATTTCTGGTTTAAATGGGAGACTCGTCGTTCTGAAGCAGTGATCCCATGTTCCAGACTCACCCAGAAGAGTAAACGTCCTTTCCACATCTAACATAAACACAGAATGCTGGAGAAACTCAGCAGCATCTGTAGAGAGAGAAACAGATTTAACATTTTGAGTCCAATCTGACTTCTTCAGAATCCTTTAGCACTGACCACATCAAGACCCCTCAAGATCGTATGTGTTTCAATCATGTTGCTTCTTATTCTTATAAACCCCTGTCTGAGGGAGCGCTGCACTGTCGGAGGGTCAGTGCTGAGGGAGTGCCGCACTGTCAGAGGGTCAGTGCTGAGGGAG